CGGGGGCTGCGGCAGCTGTTGCCCGGGCGGCCTGCGGCGGAGCCTCCTGCTGCACGGCGCGCGCAGCAAGCCCTACTCGTGCCCCGAGTGCGGCAAGAGCTTCGGCGTGCGCAAGAGCCTCATCATCCACCACCGCAGCCACACCAAGGAGCGGCCGTACGAGTGCGCCGAGTGCGAGAAGAGCTTCAACTGCCACTCGGGCCTCATCCGCCACCAGATGACGCACCGCGGCGAGCGGCCCTACAAGTGCTCCGAGTGCGAGAAGACCTACAGCCGCAAGGAGCACCTGCAGAACCACCAGCGGCTGCACACGGGCGAGCGGCCCTTCCAGTGCGCGCTCTGCGGGAAGAGCTTCATCCGCAAGCAGAACCTGCTCAAGCACCAGCGCATCCACACGGGCGAGCGGCCCTACACGTGCGGCGAGTGCGGCAAGAGCTTCCGCTACAAGGAGTCTCTCAAGGACCACCTGCGCGTGCACAGCGCTGGCCCGGGCCTCGGCGCCCCGCGGCCCCCCCAGGCGCCGCCCGAGCGAGACTAGGGCTGGGCTGGGGGAGGGGAGGGCCCGGCGGCAGGAGCAGGGGTGGTGGGCCTGGGGACGTCCTGATCATCCACCATGCTGCCCGTGGTTCTCCCCCTCCCTCTGCCCGCCACCTGCTGGAAATCGGGAACAGGAATTGCACTCCAGACAGGGTCCCCCGAGGGTTGGGCAGGGGTCCCCCAGACCTGTCCGGCCTAAATGGACAGCCCAGCTCATCATAGGGTGGACCAAGGGGCCGTCTGATCGGCTTCCCTGTGGGGGAAGCCAGAGGAACAGCGACGAGGCGAGGGGCCTTGGGCACCCCCCTCAGACACCTAGTGTGCCCGTTTGGCCTTTGGGGTCACAGATTGTGATCAGGGGAAGCAGCCAGGGAGTCTCGGCGCCCTTCTGAGATAAGGAAGTAAGGTCCCAAAGTTAAGAGGCTGACGACGGAAGCGGAAGGTGAGGTGAGAAGAGGGATGTGCTAAGGGATGATATCTCTGATGACGACACTGCCTCGCGTTTGAATAGCGCTTTATACTTTTTTAAACGTGTTTTCTATCCGTTATCTATTGCACCCTTAGCCTATCCCTCTCAGGTCGGTAGGTAACTGAGGAAAGGGGGACGCAGCTGAGAAGGTTTACCCAAGGTCACACAGAGAGTGGCGGGGCTGGGCCAGGCTCCTGACCCCAGCGCAGTGTCTCCACCACACACACTGCCTACCTCCGTGGTTTGAGAGCCTCTCTGGCCTGGCCTCTTCTGCTCTTTCTCCTCTCTCTGTCGCCTGGTCCACCAAAAAGAATCAGAAGCAACAGGGGGCCAACTCATGGGCTTACGGGGAATGGGGAGCAGATTGGCTACAAAATGCCCCAGGTTGTGCTTCTGAAAGACTCTTCCTATGTGGGCACTCCT